GTGACTCACATGGGTTTCAATCTGAATTTTGCGATCTTGTAATCTAGGCCTGAGGCCTCACTGTTAGAATGCCACCCATCATAATTCACCTTGTTTTTCTTTTTTAATGTTGCTTTCCAATGGACCACATTGTCTTTTTTGAATATTTTCCAGTTGTATATGCTACCACTACCAATTTTTCAACATCTCAATACCTTTGTATATGACACTTAAAGTAAGATGATGGCCCCTGGCATTTTAATTCACAAATGACACCTTATCAACATGTCAGCATGTTATGTGTATGAAAAGTATAGTGCAACAACAGGACTAATGTATTTGAATTCTAGAAAAAATTGTTTCTCCACATTTCATCATAGAAAACACTAGGCAGAATTCTGTAGCTCCCTTATAACAAGTCTTTTCTTGTTGTTGAGACAAAATAACCAGACTCACAAGTTAAGAGAGGAAAGGTTCAGAACTCACAGTTTATAGAGGTTTCAGTTCATAGTAGGCTGGCTCCAGAACAGGGAGGCATTGCAGAGGGGCATCACGGACCAGAAGACAAGCAGGAGCAGCAGCAGCAGCAGCAGCAGCAGCAGGATCAAGCTTTTTTCTGTCCCTACATCTTATCCAGGTACTCACCTTTAGGGCAGGTAGCACTCATACCCTTAATCTTAACATCACATCCTTGATCCCAGAACTATGCCAAACCAATCGGTGGACCAACTTGGTAATCACATATCCTGAATCCCAACATCATATTCTACAGATCTAGTCTCCTATGGAAAACACCCATCTATAGCTCCATGAGAGTTTGGGGGACAGGTAGGCAGGAGACATAGCAACAAGCATCTGTGTAATGGAGCTCGATGGATCAAATTGCTATGACTTTAAGAAATCAGTCAGTGGAAGGAGCCACCTCACATCTCCACTTCCATGCACACAATGTGTCCTTGTGGTCCTAATTCCCACACAGGAGAACACGGGCCACAGGAGAATCTGCTCTGCCTGGTCAAGAGGTACATGGTTTTCATTACACATCAACAAACTGTCACCCAGTCTTATGCGTTCCTCTTAGACTGGACAAGTTTAAATGGCTGATAAACACTAATCAATGGGGAAAAATCATGAAACTGCAATGCTAGGACCACTAGTTCCTCAGTAAGACAAATATCCATTTCTACTTTGTTACTGGCATCTTTTTCCTTGCTTACAGTCAAAGAGAAATACAGTGACTCTGGGGAAAATGCTTGTGTAGTGCCCTACTATCCATTCTTGGTGACCATATAAATTACAAAATATCATGGAAAAGCTTTCATTGCAACAGATATTCAAAGTCTTAGATTCAGCAATTCAATTTCCTGGAATTTTAAAAGTTATTGTATCATATTAGCTGAGACTCATGACACACAGTAATATATCAATGACCAGATCAGCATTATTCCCAAAGAAGTGTGGGAATAACCCTCAAATCCTTCAATGGATAATGGATAAAGAAATGTGGTATGTGTAAAATAGGGATTTTAGGCTATAAGAATCTTTTGTATTAAAATATCACTGCCAAAGTCATGAATTGCATGAAACCATTTATCTTCCATAAAGTTAAGAGGACGTCACTATTGCTAGTAAGGAGGTATCAATACGATTACAACAAGTGTTTTTATCAGTGAAACTTTTCATAGTGCCTAAAATATTCCTACGTACTAGCAGAGAAACAAGAACTCCTTTCAAGTACGATAGAAATTAAAAACAAATGGACTCACCAAACTGTCATTTGACAAGTTTTTCTGAGCATGTTCAAGTTTTCCTGCTGGTTTCTTCCTTTTCTTATTCTGGCTCAAAATCTCCATTTCGAGACTTTTCACATTTTCTTTTATGTGTAAACACTCTGATTTAATCCTAAAATATTGATTTCAAAATAATTATTGGCACAGATCTGTTTAAAAAGTCACATAACCTTTGAAAGACTACTCACAATTTTAAAAGTTAGAAAAAGTAGATGATTTGGTAGGTAAGATTTTTCTCATTGTGCTTGTTGACACTTTTTCTTTTGCATTATTGGGTGTTAACACAGAGCTCCACGTGGAAAGCACATGCTCTCTCCTCACTGTACTATTTCTGCTCCCCTAAATTACTCCTTTCAGGTACATTTATCAAAGCTAGAATTTTCCCCTGGCCTAATGAAGATTTAGTACTTATATAACTGCAATATGTCTCATATTATGCTGCTAATTTCCTTTATAGATTCTCAAGTCATTTGGTTAAGCCATACCTGTCTAAGGGTTCTTCCATTTTTTCATCATGTTGCACAGAGCTTGTACCTTGATCTTGTGCTTCTGTCAACTGAAAATTAACAAAAATGTTTATTAATAACCTGCCCATCCCTGGTGTTTGTTTCATAACTGTAGTGGACACAGCTATAATGCTCCACCTCCGTATGGTTTATAGTTACCTCTGTGCTGTGTCTACACGGTTATCTGAACTGCTGACGCAGGGATCCAATGGCCCACACCTTACAAAGTAACACCCTCTCCCCACTACTTAAGTTACCGACCCCAGCTCTCGGTCTGAAACATATTATATTCCTGATTTTAGACCTGTTAGCAGGTCCTCAAACTGACAAAACTAGAAGGTTAGCACAGTGCTATGGACCTGCATTCCTGGCTGCTTGGTAAGCTGATGCTTGAGACCAGCCTGGGCAACTGGGGGAGACAACTCTTTTGCAGGAAACTATAAAAGTGAAAGTTTTGGTAAAATGGAGAGAAAGAGGAAGTCCCTTTACTTGTGCTGTCCTTTTAGTTGTATTTTTACCTTCCACGCATTACATCCTACTTTATGGATTCCAAGTACTATTTATCAACTATGATATGAATAATGCTTATATGACTAAGAGCAATGCCAATGATAATAATACAGAAATGACACTGCAGTAACATCTAGATGTCTCCAGGAACTGTTGGAGAAACAGTATCTAGACAGACACCAGCATGCCTGGGCCAGAGTTCCAACTCCACCAGTCACCAGCAGTGGGAGCTCTATAAAATCTTTCCTATTAGGTATTATTGTGTTTTCTGTTTTGATAAAGTTTAATATTGCAGGAAAGCTGAGGTAAAAGTTTCCTCAGGTCAAGTGCAGTCTTGATAATTTAGTCAGAAGATCTCTCAAAATTTAAATCAGAAGCTGGGCTTCGTGTCACACAGCTGTGATTCTGTCACTCAGGAGGCTGAGTCAACAGGGTTACTGTAACCATGAGACCACCTTGGAGAGGCACAGTAAATTCAAGGCCAGCCTGGGGTACACAAAATGTCTCGGCACAGGGGTCATTTACACTTTCCCTTCTTCCTTTTAGTTTACTTCTCCCAGAACAAAACCTCATCAGCCATTATTTGGTATGGATTCCTTCTGCACTGAGTCCTACACATGGCAAAGTGACTCACATGGGTTTCAATCTGAATTTTGCGATCTTCTAATCTAGGGCTGGAGGCCTCACTGCTAGAATGCCACCCATCATAATTCACCTTGTTTTTCTTTTTTAATGTTGCTTTCCAATGGACCACATTGTCTTTTTTGAATATTTTCCAGTTGTACATGGTACCACTACTAAATTTGCAACATCTCAATACCTTTGTATATGACACTTAAAGTAAGATGATGGCCCCTGGCATTTTAATTCACAAATGACACCTTATCAACATGTCAGCATGTTATGTGTATGAAAAGTATAGTACAACAACAGGACTAATTTATTTGAATTCTAGAAAAAACTGTTTCTCCACATTTCATCATAGAAAACACTAGGCAGACTTCTGTAGCTCCCTTATAACAAGTCTTTTCTTGTTGTTGAGACAAAATAACCAGACTCACAAGTTAAGAGAGGAAAGGTTCAGAACTCACAGTTTGTAGAGGTTTCAGTTCATACTAGGCTGGCTCCAGAACAGGGAGGCATTGCAGAGGGGCATCACGGACCAGAAGACAAACAGGAGCAGCAGCAGCACCAGCAGGATCAATCTTTTTTCTGTCCCTACATCTTATCCAGGTACTCACCTTTAGGGCAGGTAGCTCTCATACCCTTAATCTTAACATCACATCCTTGATCCCAGAACTATGCCAAACCAATCGGTGGACCAACTTGGTAATCACATATCCTGAATCCCAACATCATATTCTACAGATATAGTCACCTATGAAAAACACCCATCTATAGCTCCATGAGAGTTTGGGGGACAGGTAGGCAGGAGACATAGCAACAAGCATCTGTGTAATGGAGCTCGATGGACCAAATTGCTGTGACTTTAAGAAATCAGTCAGTGGAAGGAGCCACCTCACATCTCCACTTCCATGCACACAATGTGTCCTTGTGGTCCTAATTCCCACACAGGCGAACACGGGCCACAGGAGAATCTGCTCTGCCTGGTCAAGAGGTACATGGTTTTCATTACACATCAACAAACTGTCACCCAGTCTTATGCGTTCCTCTTAGACTGGACAAGTTTAAATGGCTGATAAACACTAATCAATGGGGAAAAATCATGAAACTGCAATGCTAGGACCACTAGTTCCTCATTAAGACAAATATCCATTTATATTTTGTAACTGACATCTTTTTCCTTGCTTACAGTCAAAGAGAAATACAGTGTCTCTGGGGAAAATGCTTGTGTAGTTCCCTACTATCCATTCTTGGTGACCATATAAATTACAAAATATCATGGAAAAGCTTTCATTGCAACAGATATTCAAAGTCTTAGATTCAGCAATTCAATTTCCTGGAATTTTAAAAGTTATTGTATCATATAAGCTGAGACTCATGACACACAGTAATATATCAATGTCCAGATCAGCATTATTCCCAAAGAAGTGTGGGAATAACTCTCAAATCCTTCAATGGATAATGGATAAACAAATGTGGTATGTGTAAAATAGGGATTTTAGGCTATAAAAATCTTTTGTATTAAAATATCACTGCCAAAGTCATGAATTGCATGAAACCATTTATCTTCCATAAAGTTAAGAGGACGTCACTATTGCTAGTAAGGAGGTATCAATACGATTACAACAAGTGTTTTTATCAGTGAAACTTTTCATAGTGCCTAAAATATTCCTACGTACTAGCAGAGAAATAAGAACTCCTTTCAAGTACGATAGAAATTAAAAACAAATGGACTCACCAAACTGTCAGTTGACAAGATTTTCTGAGCATGTTCAAGTTTTCCTGCTGGTTTCTTCCTTTTCTTATTCTGGCTCAAAATCTCCATTTCGAGACTTTTCACATTTTCTTTTATGCGTAAACACTCCGATTTAATCCTAAAATATTGATTTCAAAATAATTATTTGCACAGATCTGTTTAAAAAGTCACATAACCTTTGAAAGACTACTCACAATTTTAAAAGTTAGAAAAATTAGATGATTTGGTAGGTAAGATTTTTCTCATTGTGCTTGTTGACACTTTTTCTTTTGCATTATTGGGTGTTAACACAGAGCTCCACGTGGAAAGCACATGCTCTCTCCTCACTGTACTATTTCTGCTCCCCTAAATTACTCCTTTCAGGTACATTTATCAAAGCTAGAATTTTCCCCTGGCCTAATGAAGATTTAGTACTTATATAACTGCAATATGTCTCATATTATGCTGCTGATTTCCTTTATAGATGCTCAAGTCATTTGGTTAAGCCATACCTGACTAAGGGTTCTTCCATTTTTTCATCATGTTGCACAGAGCTTGTACCTTGACCTTGTGCTTCTGTCAACTGAAAATTAACAAAAATGTTTATTAATAACCTGCCCATCCCTGGCGTTTGTTTCATAACTGTAGTGGACACAGCTATAATGCTCCACCTCCGTATGGTTTATAGTTACCTCTGTGCAGTGTCTACACGGTTATCTGAACTGCTGACGCAGGGATCCAATGGCCCACACCTTACAAAGTAACACCCTCTCCCCACTACTTAAGTTACCGACCCCAGCTCTAGGTCTGAAACATATTATATTCCTGATTTTAGACCTGTTAGCAGGTCCTCAAACTGACAAAACTAGAAGGTTAGCACAGTGCTATGGACCTGCATTCCTGGCTGCTTGGTAAGCTGATGCTTGAGACCAGCCTGGGCAACTGGGGGAGACAACTCTTTTGCAGGAAACTATAAAAGTGAAAGTTTTGGTAAAATGGAGAGAAAAGAGGAAGTCCCTTTACTTGTGCTGTCCTTTTAGTTGTATTTTTACCTTCCACGCATTACATCCTACTTTATGGATTCCAAGTACTATTTATCAACTATGATATGAATAATGCTCATATGACTAAGAGCAATGCCAATGATAATAATACAGAAATGACACTGCAGTAACATCTAGATGTCTCCAGGAACTGTTGGAGAAACAGTATCTAGACAGACACCAGCATGCCTGGGCCAGAGTTCCAACTCCACCAGTCACCAGCAGTGGGAGCTCTATAAAATCTTTCCTATTAGGTATTATTGTGTTTTCTGTTTTGATAAAGTTTAATATTGCAGGAAAGCTGAGGTAAAAGTTTCCTCAGGTCAAGTGCAGTCTTGATAATTTAGTCAGAAGATCTCAAAATTTAAATCAGAAGCTGGGCTTCGTGTCACACAGCTGTGATTCTGTCACTCAGGAGGCTGAGTCAACAGGGTTACTGTAACCATGAGACCACCTTGGAGAGGCACAGTAAATTCAAGGCCAGCCTGGGGTACACAAAATGTCTCGGCACAGGGGTCATTTACACTTTCCCTTCTTCCTTTTAGTTTACTTCTCCCAGAACAAAACCTCATCAGCCATTATTTGGTATGGATTCCTTCTGCACTGAGTCCTACACATGGCAAAGTGACTCACATGGGTTTCAATCTGAATTTTGCGATCTTCTAATCTAGGGCTGGAGGCCTCACTGCTAGAATGCCACCCATCATAATTCACCTTGTTTTTCTTTTTTAATGTTGCTTTCCAATGGACCACATTGTCTTTTTTGAATATTTTCCAGTTGTACATGGTACCACTACTAAATTTGCAACATCTCAATACCTTTGTATATGACACTTAAAGTAAGATGATGGCCCCTGGCATTTTAATTCACAAATGACACCTTATCAACATGTCAGCATGTTATGTGTATGAAAAGTATAGTACAACAACAGGACTAATTTATTTGAATTCTAGAAAAAACTGTTTCTCCACATTTCATCATAGAAAACACTAGGCAGACTTCTGTAGCTCCCTTATAACAAGTCTTTTCTTGTTGTTGAGACAAAATAACCAGACTCACAAGTTAAGAGAGGAAAGGTTCAGAACTCACAGTTTGTAGAGGTTTCAGTTCATACTAGGCTGGCTCCAGAACAGGGAGGCATTGCAGAGGGGCATCACGGACCAGAAGACAAACAGGAGCAGCAGCAGCACCAGCAGGATCAATCTTTTTTCTGTCCCTACATCTTATCCAGGTACTCACCTTTAGGGCAGGTAGCTCTCATACCCTTAATCTTAACATCACATCCTTGATCCCAGAACTATGCCAAACCAATCGGTGGACCAACTTGGTAATCACATATCCTGAATCCCAACATCATATTCTACAGATATAGTCACCTATGAAAAACACCCATCTATAGCTCCATGAGAGTTTGGGGGACAGGTAGGCAGGAGACATAGCAACAAGCATCTGTGTAATGGAGCTCGATGGACCAAATTGCTGTGACTTTAAGAAATCAGTCAGTGGAAGGAGCCACCTCACATCTCCACTTCCATGCACACAATGTGTCCTTGTGGTCCTAATTCCCACACAGGCGAACACGGGCCACAGGAGAATCTGCTCTGCCTGGTCAAGAGGTACATGGTTTTCATTACACATCAACAAACTGTCACCCAGTCTTATGCGTTCCTCTTAGACTGGACAAGTTTAAATGGCTGATAAACACTAATCAATGGGGAAAAATCATGAAACTGCAATGCTAGGACCACTAGTTCCTCATTAAGACAAATATCCATTTCTATTTTGTAACTGACATCTTTTTCCTTGCTTACAGTCAAAGAGAAATACAGTGTCTCTGGGGAAAATGCTTGTGTAGTTCCCTACTATCCATTCTTGGTGACCATATAAATTACAAAATATCATGGAAAAGCTTTCATTGCAACAGATATTCAAAGTCTTAGATTCAGCAATTCAATTTCCTGGAATTTTAAAAGTTATTGTATCATATAAGCTGAGACTCATGACACACAGTAATATATCAATGTCCAGATCAGCATTATTCCCAAAGAAGTGTGGGAATAACTCTCAAATCCTTCAATGGATAATGGATAAACAAATGTGGTATGTGTAAAATAGGGATTTTAGGCTATAAAAATCTTTTGTATTAAAATATCACTGCCAAAGTCATGAATTGCATGAAACCATTTATCTTCCATAAAGTTAAGAGGACGTCACTATTGCTAGTAAGGAGGTATCAATACGATTACAACAAGTGTTTTTATCAGTGAAACTTTTCATAGTGCCTAAAATATTCCTACGTACTAGCAGAGAAATAAGAACTCCTTTCAAGTACGATAGAAATTAAAAACAAATGGACTCACCAAACTGTCAGTTGACAAGATTTTCTGAGCATGTTCAAGTTTTCCTGCTGGTTTCTTCCTTTTCTTATTCTGGCTCAAAATCTCCATTTCGAGACTTTTCACATTTTCTTTTATGCGTAAACACTCCGATTTAATCCTAAAATATTGATTTCAAAATAATTATTTGCACAGATCTGTTTAAAAAGTCACATAACCTTTGAAAGACTACTCACAATTTTAAAAGTTAGAAAAATTAGATGATTTGGTAGGTAAGATTTTTCTCATTGTGCTTGTTGACACTTTTTCTTTTGCATTATTGGGTGTTAACACAGAGCTCCACGTGGAAAGCACATGCTCTCTCCTCACTGTACTATTTCTGCTCCCCTAAATTACTCCTTTCAGGTACATTTATCAAAGCTAGAATTTTCCCCTGGCCTAATGAAGATTTAGTACTTATATAACTGCAATATGTCTCATATTATGCTGCTGATTTCCTTTATAGATGCTCAAGTCATTTGGTTAAGCCATACCTGTCTAAGGGTTCTTCCATTTTTTCATCATGTTGCACAGAGCTTGTACCTTGACCTTGTGCTTCTGTCAACTGAAAATTAACAAAAATGTTTATTAATAACCTGCCCATCCCTGGCGTTTGTTTCATAACTGTAGTGGACACAGCTATAATGCTCCACCTCCGTATGGTTTATAGTTACCTCTGTGCAGTGTCTACACGGTTATCTGAACTGCTGACGCAGGGATCCAATGGCCCACACCTTACAAAGTAACACCCTCTCCCCACTACTTAAGTTACCGACCCCAGCTCTAGGTCTGAAACATATTATATTCCTGATTTTAGACCTGTTAGCAGGTCCTCAAACTGACAAAACTAGAAGGTTAGCACAGTGCTATGGACCTGCATTCCTGGCTGCTTGGTAAGCTGATGCTTGAGACCAGCCTGGGCAACTGGGGGAGACAACTCTTTTGCAGGAAACTATAAAAGTGAAAGTTTTGGTAAAATGGAGAGAAAGAGGAAGTCCCTTTACTTGTGCTGTCCTTTTAGTTGTATTTTTACCTTCCACGCATTACATCCTACTTTATGGATTCCAAGTACTATTTATCAACTATGATATGAATAATGCTCATATGACTAAGAGCAATGCCAATGATAATAATACAGAAATGATACTGCAGTAACATCTAGATGTCTCCAGGAACTGTTGGAGAAACAGTATCTAGACAGACACCAGCATGCCTGGGCCAGAGTTCCAACTCCACCAGTCACCAGCAGTGGGAGCTCTATAAAATCTTTCCTATTAGGTATTATTGTGTTTTCTGTTTTGATAAAGTTTAATATTGCAGGAAAGCTGAGGTAAAAGTTTCCTCAGGTCAAGTGCAGTCTTGATAATTTAGTCAGAAGATCTCTCAAAATTTAAATCAGAAGCTGGGCTTCGTGTCACACAGCTGTGATTCTGTCACTCAGGAGGCTGAGTCAACAGGGTTACTGTAACCATGAGACCACCTTGGAGAGGCACAGTAAATTCAAGGCCAGCCTGGGGTACACAAAATGTCTCGGCACAGGGGTCATTTACACTTTCCCTTCTTCCTTTTAGTTTACTTCTCCCAGAACAAAACCTCATCAGCCATTATTTGGTATGGATTCCTTCTGGACTGAGTCCTACACATGGCAAAGTGACTCACATGGGTTTCAATCTGAATTTTGCGATCTTCTAATCTAGGGCTGGAGGCCTCACTGCTAGAATGCCACCCATCATAATTCACCTTGTTTTTCTTTTTTAATGTTGCTTTCCAATGGACCACATTGTCTTTTTTGAATATTTTCCAGTTGTATATGGTACCACTACCAATTTTGCAACCTCTCAATACCTTTGTATATGACACTTAAAGTAAGATGATGGCCCCTGGCATTTTAATTCACAAATGACACCTTATCAACATGTCAGCATGTTATGTGTATGAAAAGTATAGTGCAACAACAGGACTAATGTATTTGAATTCTAGAAAAAATTGTTTCTCCACATTTCATCATAGAAAACACTAGGCAGAATTCTGTAGCTCCCTTATAACAAGTCTTTTCTTGTTGTTGAGACAAAATAACCAGACTCACAAGTTAAGAGAGGAAAGGTTCAGAACTCACAGTTTATAGAGGTTTCAGTTCATAGTAGGCTGGCTCCAGAACAGGGAGGCATTGCAGAGGGGCATCACGGACCAGAAGACAAGCAGGAGCAGCAGCAGCAGCAGCAGCATGATCAAGCTTTTTTCTGTCCCTACATCTTATCCAGGTACTCACCTTTAGGGCAGGTAGCACTCATACCCTTAATCTTAACATCACATCCTTGATCCCAGAACTATGCCAAACCAATCGGTGGACCAACTTGGTAATCACATATCCTGAATCCCAACATCATATTCTACAGATCTAGTCACCTATGAAAAACACCCATCTATAGCTCCATGAGAGTTTGGGGGACAGGTAGGCAGGAGACACAGCAACAAGCATCTGTGTAATGGAGCTCGATGGATCAAATTGCTGTGACTTTAAGAAATCAGTCAGTGGAAGGAGCCACCTCACATCTCCACTTCCATGCACACAATGTGTCCTTGTGGTCCTAATTCCCACACAGGAGAACACGGGCCACAGGAGAATCTGCTCTGCCTGGTCAAGAGGTACATGGTTTTCATTACACATCAACAAACTGTCACCCAGTCTTATGCGTTCCTCTTAGACTGGACAAGTTTAAATGGCTGATAAACACTAATCAATGGGGAAAAATCATGAAACTGCAATGCTAGGACCACTAGTTCCTCAGTAAGACAAATATCCATTTCTACTTTGTTACTGGCATCTTTTTCCTTGCTTACAGTCAAAGAGAAATACAGTGTCTCTGGGGAAAATGCTTGTGTAGTTCCCTACTATCCATTCTTGGTGACCATATAAATTACAAAATATCATGGAAAAGCTTTCATTGCAACAGATATTCAAAGTCTTAGATTCAGCAATTCAATTTCCTGAAATTTTAAAAGTTATTGTATCATATAAGCTGAGACTCATGACACACAGTAATATATCAATGTCCAGATCAGCATTATTCCCAAAGAAGTGTGGGAATAACTCTCAAATCCTTCAATGGATAATGGATAAACAAATGTGGTATGTGTAAAATAGGGATTTTAGGCTATAAAAATCTTTTGTATTAAAATATCACTGCCAAAGTCATGAATTGCATGAAACCATTTATCTTCCATAAAGTTAAGAGGACGTCACTATTGCTAGTAAGGAGGTATCAATACGATTACAACAAGTGTTTTTATCAGTGAAACTTTTCATAGTGCCTAAAATATTCCTACGTACTAGCAGAGAAATAAGAACTCCTTTCAAGTACGATAGAAATTAAAAACAAATGGACTCACCAAACTGTCATTTGACAAGTTTTTCTGAGCATGTTCAAGTTTTCCTGCTGGTTTCTTCCTTTTCATATTCTGGCTCAAAATCTCCATTTCGAGACTTTTCACATTTTCTTTTATGCGTAAACACTCTGATTTAATCCTAAAATATTGATTTCAAAATAATTATTTGCACAGATCTGTTTAAAAAGTCACATAACCTTTGAAAGACTACTCACAATTTTAAAAGTTAGAAAAAGTAGATGATTTGGTAGGTAAGATTTTTCTCATTGTGCTTGTTGACACTTTTTCTTTTGCATTATTGGGTGTGAACACAGGGCTCCACGTGGAAAGCACATGCTCTCTCCTCACTGTACTATTTCTGCTCCCCTAAATTACTCCTTTCAGGTACATTTATCAAAGCTAGAATTTTCCCCTGGCCTAATGAAGATTTAGTACTTATATAACTGCAATATGTCTCATATTATGCTGCTGATTTCCTTTATAGATGCTCAAGTCATTTGGTTAAGCCATACCTGTCTAAGGGTTCTTCCATTTTTTCATCATGTTGCACAGAGCTTGTACCTTGACCTTGTGCTTCTGTCAACTGAAAATTAACAAAAATGTTTATTAATAACCTGCCCATCCCTGGTGTTTGTTTCATAACTGTAGTGGACACAGCTATAATGCTCCACCTCCGTATGGTTTATAGTTACCTCTGTGCAGTGTCTACACGGTTATCTGAACTGCTGACGCAGGGATCCAATGGCCCACACCTTACAAAGTAACACCCTCTCCCCACTACTTAAGTTACCGACCCCAGCTCTAGGTCTGAAACATATTATATTCCTGATTTTAGACCTGTTAGCAGGTCCTCAAACTGACAAAACTAGAAGGTTAGCACAGTGCTATGGACCTGCATTCCTGGCTGCTTGGTAAGCTGATGCTTGAGACCAGCCTGGGCAACTGGGGGAGACAACTCTTTTGCAGGAAACTATAAAAGTGAAAGTTTTGGTAAAATGGAGAGAAAGAGGAAGTCCCTTTACTTGTGCTGTCCTTTTAGTTGTATTTTTACCTTCCACGCATTACATCCTACTTTATGGATTCCAAGTACTATTTATCAACTATGATATGAATAATGCTTATATGACTAAGAGCAATGCCAATGATAATAATACAGAAATGATACTGCAGTAACATCTAGATGTCTCCAGGAACTGTTGGAGAAACAGTATCTAGACATACACCAGCATGCCTGGGCCAGAGTTCCAACTCCACCAGTCACCAGCAGTGGGAGCTCTATAAAATCTTTCCTATTAGGTATTATTGTGTTTTCTGTTTTGATAAAGTTTAATATTGCAGGAAAGCTGAGGTAAAAGTTTCCTCAGGTCAAGTGCAGTCTTGATAATTTAGTCAGAAGATCTCTCAAAATTTAAATCAGAAGCTGGGCTTCGTGTCACACAGCTGTGATTCTGTCACTCAGGAGGCTGAGTCAACAGGGTTACTGTAACCATGAGACCACCTTGGAGAGGCACAGTAAATTCAAGGCCAGCCTGGGGTACACAAAATGTCTCGGCACAGGGGTCATTTACACTTTCCCTTCTTCCTTTTAGTTTACTTCTCCCAGAACAAAACCTCATCAGCCATTATTTGGTATGGATTCCTTCTGCACTGAGTCCTACACATGGCAAAGTGACTCACATGGGTTTCAATCTGAATTTTGCGATCTTCTAATCTAGGGCTGGAGGCCTCACTGCTAGAATGCCACCCATCATAATTCACCTTGTTTTTCTTTTTTAATGTTGCTTTCCAATGGACCACATTGTCTTTTTTGAATATTTTCCAGTTGTATATGGTACCACTACCAATTTTGCAACCTCTCAATACCTTTGTATATGACACTTAAAGTAAGATGATGGCCCCTGGCATTTTAATTCACAAATGACACCTTATCAACATGTCAGCATGTTATGTGTATGAAAAGTATAGTGCAACAACAGGACTAATGTATTTGAATTCTAGAAAAAATTGTTTCTCCACATTTCATCATAGAAAACACTAGGCAGAATTCTGTAGCTCCCTTATAACAAGTCTTTTCTTGTTGTTGAGACAAAATAACCAGACTCACAAGTTAAGAGAGGAAAGGTTCAGAACTCACAGTTTATAGAGGTTTCAGTTCATAGTAGGCTGGCTCCAGAACAGGGAGGCATTGCAGAGGGGCATCACGGACCAGAAGACAAGCAGGAGCAGCAGCAGCAGCAGCAGCATGATCAAGCTTTTTTCTGTCCCTACATCTTATCCAGGTACTCACCTTTAGGGCAGGTAGCACTCATACCCTTAATCTTAACATCACATCCTTGATCCCAGAACTATGCCAAACCAATCGGTGGACCAACTTGGTAATCACATATCCTGAATCCCAACATCATATTCTACAGATCTAGTCACCTATGAAAAACACCCATCTATAGCTCCATGAGAGTTTGGGGGACAGGTAGGCAGGAGACACAGCAACAAGCATCTGTGTAATGGAGCTCGATGGATCAAATTGCTGTGACTTTAAGAAATCAGTCAGTGGAAGGAGCCACCTCACATCTCCACTTCCATGCACACAATGTGTCCTTGTGGTCCTAATTCCCACACAGGAGAACACGGGCCACAGGAGAATCTGCTCTGCCTGGTCAAGAGGTACATGGTTTTCATTACACATCAACAAACTGTCACCCAGTCTTATGCGTTCCTCTTAGACTGGACAAGTTTAAATGGCTGATAAACACTAATCAATGGGGAAAAATCATGAAACTGCAATGCTAGGACCACTAGTTCCTCAGTAAGACAAATATCCATTTCTACTTTGTTACTGGCATCTTTTTCCTTGCTTACAGTCAAAGAGAAATACAGTGTCTCTGGGGAAAATGCTTGTGTAGTTCCCTACTATCCATTCTTGGTGACCATATAAATTACAAAATATCATGGAAAAGCTTTCATTGCAACAGATATTCAAAGTCTTAGATTCAGCAATTCAATTTCCTGAAATTTTAAAAGTTATTGTATCATATAAGCTGAGACTCATGACACACAGTAATATATCAATGTCCAGATCAGCATTATTCCCAAAGAAGTGTGGGAATAACTCTCAAATCCTTCAATGGATAATGGATAAACAAATGTGGTATGTGTAAAATAGGGATTTTAGGCTATAAAAATCTTTTGTATTAAAATATCACTGCCAAAGTCATGAATTGCATGAAACCATTTATCTTCCATAAAGTTAAGAGGACGTCACTATTGCTAGTAAGGAGGTATCAATACGATTACAACAAGTGTTTTTATCAGTGAAACTTTTCATAGTGCCTAAAATATTCCTACGTACTAGCAGAGAAATAAGAACTCCTTTCAAGTACGATAGAAATTAAAAACAAATGGACTCACCAAACTGTCATTTGACAAGTTTTTCTGAGCATGTTCAAGTTTTCCTGCTGGTTTCTTCCTTTTCATATTCTGGCTCAAAATCTCCATTTCGAGACTTTTCACATTTTCTTTTATGCGTAAACACTCTGATTTAATCCTAAAATATTGATTTCAAAATAATTATTTGCACAGATCTGTTTAAAAAGTCACATAACCTTTGAAAGACTACTCACAATTTTAAAAGTTAGAAAAAGTAGATGATTTGGTAGGTAAGATTTTTCTCATTGTGCTTGTTGACACTTTTTCTTTTGCATTATTGGGTGTGAACACAGGGCTCCACGTGGAAAGCACATGCTCTCTCCTCACTGTACTATTTCTGCTCCCCTAAATTACTCCTTTCAGGTACATTTATCAAAGCTAGAATTTTCCCCTGGCCTAATGAAGATTTAGTACTTATATAACTGCAATATGTCTCATATTATGCTGCTGATTTCCTTTATAGATGCTCAAGTCATTTGGTTAAGCCATACCTGTCTAAGGGTTCTTCCATTTTTTCATCATGTTGCACAGAGCTTGTACCTTGACCTTGTGCTTCTGTCAACTGAAAATTAACAAAAATGTTTATTAATAACCTGCCCATCCCTGGTGTTTGTTTCATAACTGTAGTGGACACAGCTATAATGCTCCACCTCCGTATGGTTTATAGTTACCTCTGTGCAGTGTCTACACGGTTATCTGAACTGCTGACGCAGGGATCCAATGGCCCACACCTTACAAAGTAACACCCTCTCCCCACTACTTAAGTTACCGACCCCAGCTCTAGGTCTGAAACATATTATATTCCTGATTTTAGACCTGTTAGCAGGTCCTCAAACTGACAAAACTAGAAGGTTAGCACAGTGCTATGGACCTGCATTCCTGGCTGCTTGGTAAGCTGATGCTTGAGACCAGCCTGGGCAACTGGGGGAGACAACTCTTTTGCAGGAAACTATAAAAGTGAAAGTTTTGGTAAAATGGAGAGAAAGAGGAAGTCCCTTTACTTGTGCTGTCCTTTTAGTTGTATTTTTACCTTCCACGCATTACATCCTACTTTATGGATTCCAAGTACTATTTATCAACTATGATATGAATAATGCTTATATGACTAAGAGCAATGCCAATGATAATAATACAGAAATGATACTGCAGTAACATCTAGATGTCTCCAGGAACTGTTGGAGAAACAGTATCTAGACATACACCAGCATGCCTGGGCCAGAGTTCCAACTCCACCAGTCACCAGCAGTGGGAGCTCTATAAAATCTTTCCTATTAGGTATTATTGTGTTTTCTGTTTTGATAAAGTTTAATATTGCAGGAAAGCTGAGGTAAAAGTTTCCTCAGGTCAAGTGCAGTCTTGATAATTTAGTCAGAAGATCTCTCAAAATTTAAATCAGAAGCTGGGCTTCGTGTCACACAGCTGTGATTCTGTCACTCAGGAGGCTGAGTCAACAGGGTTACTGTAACCATGAGACCACCTTGGAGAGGCACAGTAAATTCAAGGCCAGCCTGGGGTACACAAAATGTCTCGGCACAGGGGTCATTTACACTTTCCCTTCTTCCTTTTAGTTTACTTCTCCCAGAACAAAACCTCATCAGCCATTATTTGGTATGGATTCCTTCTGCACTGAGTCCTACACATGGCAAAGTGACTCACATGGGTTTCAATCTGAATTTTGCGATCTTCTAATCTAGGGCTGGAGGCCTCACTGCTAGAATGCCACCCATCATAATTCACCTTGTTTTTCTTTTTTAATGTTGCTTTCCAATGGACCACATTGTCTTTTTTGAATATTTTCCAGTTGTATATGGTACCACTACCAATTTTGCAACCTCTCAATACCTTTGTATATGACACTTAAAGTAAGATGATGGCCCCTGGCATTTTAATTCACAAATGACACCTTATCAACATGTCAGCATGTTATGTGTATGAAAAGTATAGTGCAACAACAGGACTAATGTATTTGAATTCTAGAAAAAATTGTTTCTCCACATTTCATCATAGAAAACACTAGGCAGAATTCTGTAGCTCCCTTATAACAAGTCTTTTCTTGTTGTTGAGACAAAATAACCAGACTCACAAGTTAAGAGAGGAAAGGTTCAAAACTCACAGTTTATAGAGGTTTCAGTTCATAGTAGGCTGGCTCCAGAACAGGGAGGCATTGCAGAGGGGCATCACGGACCAGAAGACAAGCAGGAGCAGCAGCAGCAGCAGCAGCATGATCAAGCTTTTTTCTGTCCCTACATCTTATCCAGGTACTCACCTTTAGGGCAGGTAGCACTCATACCCTTAATCTTAACATCACATCCTTGATCCCAGAACTATGCCAAACCAATCGGTGGACCAACTTGGTAATCACATATCCTGAATCCCAACATCATATTCTACAGATCTAGTCACCTATGAAAAACACCCATCTATAGCTCCATGAGAGTTTGGGGGACAGGTAGGCAGGAGACACAGCAACAAGCATCTGTGTAATGGAGCTCGATGGATCAAATTGCTGTGACTTTAAGAAATCAGTCAGTGGAAGGAGCCACCTCACATCTCCACTTCCATGCACACAATGTGTCCTTGTGGTCCTAATTCCCACACAGGAGAACACGGGCCACAGGAGAATCTGCTCTGCCTGGTCAAGAGGTACATGGTTTTCATTACACATCAACAAACTGTCACCCAGTCTTATGCGTTCCTCTTAGACTGGACAAGTTTAAATGGCTGATAAACACTAATCAATGGGGAAAAATCATGAAACTGCAATGCTAGGACCACTAGTTCCTCAGTAAGACAAATATCCATTTCTACTTTGTTACTGGCATCTTTTTCCTTGCTTACAGTCAAAGAGAAATACAGTGTCTCTGGGGAAAATGCTTGTGTAGTTCCCTACTATCCATTCTTGGTGACCATATAAATTACAAAATATCATGGAAAAGCTTTCATTGCAACAGATATTCAAAGTCTTAGATTCAGCAATTCAATTTCCTGAAATTTTAAAAGTTATTGTATCATATAAGCTGAGACTCATGACACACAGTAATATATCAATGTCCAGATCAGCATTATTCCCAAAGAAGTGTGGGAATAACTCTCAAATCCTTCAATGGATAATGGATAAACAAATGTGGTATGTGTAAAATAGGGATTTTAGGCTATAAAAATCTTTTGTATTAAAATATCACTACCAAAGTCATGAATTGCATGAAACCATTTATCTTCCATAAAGTTAAGAGGATGTCACTATTGCTAGTAAGGAGGTATCAATACGATTACAACAAGTGTTTTTATCAGTGAAACTTTTCATAGTGCGTAAAATATTCCTACGTACTAGCAGAGAAACACGAACTCCTTTCAAGTACGATAGAAATTAAAAACAAATGGACTCACCAAACTGTCATTTGACAAGTCTTTCCGAGCATGTTCAAGTTTTCCTGCTGGTTTCTTCCTTTTCATATTCTGGCTCAAAATCTCCATTTCGAGACTTTTCACATTTTCTTTTATGCGTAAACACTCCGATTTAATCCTAAAATATTGATTTCAAAATAATTATTTGCACAGATCTGTTTAAAAAGTCACATAACCTTTGAAAGACTACTCACAATTTTAAAAGTTAGAAAAAGTTGATGATTTGGTAGGTAAGATTTTTCTCATTGTGCTTGTTGACACTTTTTCTTTTGCATTATTGGGTGTGAACACAGGGCTCCACGTGGAAAGCACATGCTCTCTCCTCACTGTACTATTTCTGCTCCTCTAAATTACTCCTTTCAGGTACATTTATCAAAGCTAGAATTTTCCCCTGGCCTAATGAAGATTTAGTACTTATATAACTGCAATATGTCTCATATTATGCTGCTGATTTCCTTTATAGTTGCTCAAGTCATTTGGTTAAGCCATACCTGTCTAAGGGTTCTTCCATTTTTTCATCATGTTGCACAGAGCTTGTACCTTGATCTTGTGCTTCTGTCAACTGAAAATTAACAAAAATGTTTATTAAATAACCTGCCCATCCCTGGCGTTTGTTTCATAACTGTAGTGGACACAGCTATAATGCTCCACCTCCGTATGGTTTATAGTTACCTCTGTGCAGTGTCTACACGGTGAGCTGAACTGCTGACGCAGGGATCCAATGGCCCACACCTTACAAAGTAACACCCTCTCCCCACTACTTAAGTTACCGACCCCAGCTCTAGGTCTGAAACATATTATATTTCTGATTTTAGACCTGTTAGCAGGTCCTCAAACTGACAAAACTAGAAGGTTAGCACAGTGCTATGGACCTGCATTCCTGGCTGCTTGGTAAGCTGATGCTTGAGACCAGCCTGGGCAACTGGGGGAGACAACTCTTTTGCAGGAAACTAAAAAAGTGAAAGTTTTGGTAAAATGGAGAGAAAGAGGAAGTCCCTTTACTTGTGCTGTCCTTTTAGTTGTATTTTTACATTCCACGCATTACATCCTACTTTATGGATTCCAAGTACTATTTATCAACTATGATATGAATAATGCTTATATGACTAAGAGCAATGCCAATGATAATAATACAGAAATGACACTGCAGTAACATCTAGATGTCTCCAGGAACTGTTGGAGAAACAGTATCTAGACAGACACCAGCATGCCTGGGCCAGAGTTCCAACTCCACCAGTCACCAGCAGTGGGAGCTCTATAAAATCTTTCCTATTAGGTATTATTGTGTTTTCTGTTTTGAGAAACTTTAATATTGCAAGAAAGCTGAGGTAAAAGTTTCCTCAGGTCAAGTGCAGTCTTGATAATTTAGTCAGAAGATCTCTAAAAATTTAAATCAGAAGCTGGGCTTCGTGTCACACAGCTGTGATTCTGTCACTCAGGAGGCTGAGTCAACAGGGTTACTGTAACCATGAGACCACCTTGGAGAGGCACAGTAAATTCAAGGCCAGCCTGGGGTACACAAAATGTCTCGGCACAGGGGTCATTTACACTTTCCCTTCTTCCTTTTAGTATACTTCTCCCAGAACAAAACCTCATCAGCCATTATTTGGTATGGATTCCTTCTGCACTGAGTCCTACACATGGCAAAGTGACTCACATGGGTTTCAATCTGAATTTTGCGATCTTCTAATCTAGGGCTGGAGGCCTCACTGCTAGAATGCCACCCATCATAATTCACCTTGTTTTTCTTTTTTAATGTTGCTTTCCAATGGACCACATTGTCTTTTTTGAATATTTTCCAGTTGTATATGGTACCACTACCAATGTTTCAACATCTCAATACCTTTGTATATGACACTTAAAGTAAGATGATGGCCCCTGGCATTTTAATTCACAAATGACACCTTATCAACATGTCAGCATGTTATGTCTATGAAAAGTATAGTACAACAACAGGACTAATGTATTTGAATTCTAGAAAAAATTGTTTCTCCACATTTCATCATAGAAAACACTAGGCAGAATTCTGTAGCTCCCTTATAACAAGTCTTTTCTTGTTGTTGAGACAAAATAACCAGACTCACAAGTTAAGAGAGGAAAGGTTCAGAACTCACAGTTTATAGAGGTTTCAGTTCATAGTAGGCTGGATCCAGAACAGGGAGGCATTGCAGAGGGGCATCACGGACCAGAAGACAAGCAGGAGCAGCAGCAGCAGCAGCAGGATCAAGCTTTTTTCTGTCCCTACATCTTATCCAGGTACTCACCTTTAGGGCAGGTAGCACTCATACCCTTAATCTTAACATCACATCCTTGATCCCAGAACTATGCCAAACCAATCGGTGGACCAACTTGGTAATCACATATCCTGAATCCCAACATCATATTCTACAGATCTAGTCACCTATGAAAAACACCCATCTATAGCTCCATGAGAGTTTGGGGGACAGGTAGGCAGGAGACATAGCAACAAGCATCTGTGTAATGGAGCTCGATGGATCAAATTGCTGTGACTTTAAGAAATCAGTCAGTGGAAGGAGCCACCTCACATCTCCACTTCCATGCACACAATGTGTCCTTGTGGTCCTAATTCCCACACAGGCGAACACGGACCACAGGAGAATCTGCTCTGCCTGGTCAAGAGGTACATGGTTTTCATTACACATCAACAAACTGTCACCCAGTCTTATGCGTTCCTCTTAGACTGGACAAGTTTAAATGGCTGATAAACACTAATCAATGGGGAAAAATCATGAAACTGCAATGCTAGGACCACTAGTTCCTCAGTAAGACAAATATCCATTTCTACTTTGTTACTGGCATCTTTTTCCTTGCTTACAGTCAAAGAGAAATACAGTGTCTCTGGGGAAAATGCTTGTGTAGTGCCCTACTATCCATTCTTGGTGACCATATAAATTACAAAATATCATGGAAAAGCTTTCATTGCAACAGATATTCAAAGTCTTAGATTCAGCAATTCAATTTCCTGGAATTTTAAAAGTTATTGTATCATATTAGCTGAGACTCATGACAAACAGTAATATATCAATGTCCAGATCAGCATTATTCCCAAAGAAGTGTGGGAATAACTCTCAAATCCTTCAATGGAAAATGGATAAAAAAATGTGGTATGTGTAAAATAGGGATTTTAGGCTATAAAAATCTTTTGTATTAAAATAGCACTGCCAAAGTCATGAATTGCATGAAACCATTTGTCTTCCATAAAGTTAAGAGGACATCACTATTGCTAGTAAGGAGGTATCAATACGATTACAACAAGTGTTTTTATCAGTGAAACTTTTCATAGTGCCTAAAATATTCCTACGTACTAGCAGAGAAACACGAACTCCTTTCAAGTACGATAGAAATTAAAAACAAATGGACTCACCAAACTGTCATTTGACAAGTTTTTCCGAGCATGTTCAAGTTTTCCTGCTGGTTTCTTCCTTTTCTTATTCTGGCTCAAAATCTCCATTTCGAGACTTTTCACATTTTCTTTTATGCCTAAACACTCCAATTTGATCCTAAAATATTGATTTCAAAATAATTATTTGCACAGATCTGTTTAAAAAGTCACATAACCTTTGAAAGACTACTCACAATTTTAAAAGTTAGAAAAAGTAGATGATTTGGTAGGTAAGATTTTTCTCATTGTGCTTGTTGACACTTTTTCTTTTGCATTATTGGGTGTGAACACAGGGCTCCACGTGGAAAGCACATGCTCTCTCCTGACTGTACTATTTCTGCTCCTCTAAATTACTCCTTTCAGGTACATTTATCAAAGCTAGAATTTTCCCCTGGCCTAATGAAGATTTAGTACTTATATAACTGCAATATGTCTCATATTATGCTGCTGATTTCCTTTATAGTTGCTCAAGTCATTTGGTTAAGCCATACCTGTCTAAGGGTTCTTCCATTTTTTCATCATGTTGCACAGAGCTTGTACCTTGATCTTGTGCTTCTGTCAACTGAAAATTAACAAAAATGTTTATTAATAACCTGCCCATCCCTGGCGTTTGTTTCATAACTGTAGTGGACACAGCTATAATGCTCCACCTCCGTATGGTTTATAGTTACCTCTGTGCAGTGTCTACACGGTTATCTGAACTGCTGACGCAGGGATCCAATGGCCCACACCTTACAAAGTAACACCCTCTCCCCACTACTTAAGTTACCGACCCCAGCTCTAGGTCTGAAACATATTATATTTCTGATTTTAGACCTGTTAACAGGTCCTCAAACTGACAAAACTAGAAGGTTAGCACAGTGCTATGGACCTGCATTCCTGGCTGCTTGGTAAGCTGATGCTTGAGACCAGCCTGGGCAACTGGGGGAGACAACTCTTTTGCAGGAAACTAAAAAAGTGAAAGTTTTGGTAAAATGGAGAGAAAGAGGAAGTCCCTTTACTTGTGCTGTCCTTTTAGTTGTATTTTTACATTCCACGCATTACATCCTACTTTATGGATTCCAAGTACTATTTATCAACTATGATATGAATAATGCTTATATGACTAAGAGCAATGCCAATGATAATAATACAGAAATGACACTGCAGTAACATCTAGATGTCTCCAGGAACTGTTGGAGAAACAGTATCTAGACAGACACCAGCATGCCTGGGCCAGAGTTCCAACTCCACCAGTCACCAGCAGTGGGAGCTCTATAAAATCTTTCCTATTAGGTATTATTGTGTTTTCTGTTTTGAGAAACTTTAGTATTGCAAGAAAGGTGAGGTAAAAGTTTCCTCAGGTCAAGTGCAGTCTTGATAATTTAGTCAGAAGATCTCTCAAAATTTAAATCAGAAGCTGGGCTTCGTGTCACACAGCTGTGATTCTGTCACTCAGGAGGCTGAGTCAACAGGGTTACTGTAACCATGAGACCACCTTGGAGAGGCACAGTAAATTCAAGGCCAGCCTGGGGTACACAAAATGTCTCGGCACAGGGGTCATTTACACTTTCCCTTCTTCCTTTTAGTATACTTCTCCCAGAACAAAACCTCATCAGCCATTATTTGGTATGGATTCCTTCTGCACTGAGTCCTACACATGGCAAAGTGACTCACATGGGTTTCAATCTGAATTTTGCGATCTTCTAATCTAGGGCTGGAGGCCTCACTG